ACGACCTTTTGCTCAGCGGCAGGGACCCAGACATGCTAAATAATATGCTCGGCCAGTTGGTCGAAGCCCTGAGACAAGCTAATCTGCATGTTGCCCCCGACAAGATTCAGGGAGGAGAAATGGTGACCTACTTAGGCGCAAAAATCTCCCCTATGCTAGTCTCTCCACAGAAGGTCACCATTAGGACGGATGGCGTTAGGACCCTAAATGACATGCAAAAACTATTGGGAGACATTAATTGGATTAGGCCATATTTACATATACCAAATTCAGATCTCAAACCCCTGTTCGACCTTCTGAAGGGAGACCCAGATATAGCCTCCCACAGGAGGCTCACTCCTGAGGCAAGAGCTGCCTTACAGAGAGTGGAAAAAGCCTTAGGTGGGGCTACCTTACACAGAATTGAACCAGGGCGACCCTTTGATGTCTGTTTGCTACAGACTAGTCTACAGCCCACAGCGGTGATTTGGCAGAAAGGACCATTACTGTGGATACACCCTAAGGTCTCACCTGCAAAAGTCATAGAGCATTACCCGGAGGCAGTCGCTTCATTGGCTCTTGAAGCGCATGATAGAGCTGTCCAACATTTTGGCTCAGGACCACAAGCCATCCGAGTACCCTATACCGCCAGCCAGATCAAGACCCTGGCTGCCTGCATAGATACATGGGCCATTCTGAGATGTGTTTTCCATGGGGATATAAACAATCAATACCCTAAAGACCCTATCTTGTCATTTGTCACTCAGCACCCTATAATTTTTCCAAAGGTTACTGCCTCTGAGCCATTAGTCCCAGCAACTACAATATACACAGATGGCTCCAAGACGGGGATAGGCGCCTATGTGATCCTAGGCAAGCCCCCGGTTACCATACAATTTGAACCTGATCAGCCTCAGGTGGTGGAACTGCAGATCGTTAAAATGATTCTTGAACGGTTCTCAGAAGCCATTAATATTGTCTCCGATTCTAGGTATGTGGTCAATGCTATGCAAGTGCTTGAGACTGCCAGTTTAATTAGATCCACTTCCACAGTGGCTGGGCTGTTCCTGTCTATCCAGACATTGCTTCAGAACAGACACCATAAGGTCTTCACCACCCACATAAGAGCACATACATCCCTGCCAGGGCCTATGGCACAGGGGAATGCGGCTGCTGACACTGCCACTCGCCCGTTATGGATTTTTACCTTACTAACACCAATCGAGCGAGCCCGTGCCTTCCATGATAAGTTTCATGTCAATGCCAGGACACTAGCAAACCATTTCCATGTTTCCAGAGCAGATGCACGAGATATCGTGCGACTATGTGACTCCTGTGCCACATACAAACCTGCCATACCGATGGGAGTAAACCCTCGAGGTTTGATCCCTGGTGATGTTTGGCAGATGGACATCACACATATACAGGAGTTTGGGACTCTTAAATATGTTCATGTTTCCACAGACACCTGTTCTCACGTCATATTTGCAACAGCAGAAACAGGTGAAAAAATGTCTAATGTGATCAATCATTGCCTGGCGGCTTGGGCCGCATGGGGCAAACCAAAAATATTAAAAACTGATAATGGACCAGCCTATATAGGCAAAGCCTTCAATGAGTTCTGCAAAATGATGGAGGTTCAATTAAAACATGGTATCCCATACAATCCCCAAGGTCAAGGAATCATTGAGAGGGCTCATAGAAGCCTCAAAGAAATTTTACAAAAACAAAAAGGGGGAGTAGGCCAAGGCCTGGCCCCAAAGGCACGATTATCCATGGCACTATTCACACACAATTTTTAAAATTTAAATAATGATAATTGCTCCCCAGCCGTGGAGCACTGCAACCCTTCCCCCAACCATAAAGGGTGGGTGAAGTGGAAAGATGTCCTGACAGGACAATGGATGGGCCCGGATCCAGTGGTCAGCTGGAACCGAGGCGCGGTTTGTGTTTTCCCACAGGAATCGGGACGAGAACCACTGTGGGTACCGGAGAGACTGACACGGGCGACAAAGCCCTCGACTGAAGATCAGACCTGCCCTACCGGAGATCCATCACAGACCAACCAACAAGATGAATAAAAATAGCGGTAGCCCGAAATGGACAAGAAGATCCTCAGGCATATGCATGACTCGCTTGCCTAGCCTACGACCGAGTCTAGGGGTGGTGAGCTTCCCACACTCCTCCTCTAAAAAATTATGACATAGCTGGGTAGGAGAGTCAATGACGGGTAAGAGCGTACTCCCCCGGTGCGACTCAACCTAAGCCAGGCCCTACCCCATCCTGCACGTAAGCCGCTGGACTGTTAGATGCTGCCCAGGTCTAAATTTCTCTCCGAGGGGATTTCTTTATGGAGAGGAAATGAGTGCAAGCTTGTGTGCATCCAGGTTCCGTCCAGTTTGTGCCTGGCCCTAGAAAAAGGACGAGGGCCTCAGGGCCTTGGCAGACCATGGGACGGCCGACCAGGGTCTAAGCCAAGGACCTACGGTGGGCCTACGCATAGGGCATAAGCCTCTGCACCCAGTCCAGAAAGGGCTACGATGCGCACATTCATAAAAAATAAAAAAGGGGGAGATGTTGGGAGCCGCAGCCCCGAGCCCGGTCGCCTCACTTGGCGGACGTGAGGCCTGTAGTAAAGAGTAAAGCCTGAGGTAGATTACCCCTCCCATCGAGCACGTTAGTTTCCTGCTTACCGCGTAAGCAACCCGCTCAACAATATAGTCTGCCTGGCAACTGATGATGTTAGCCAATCAGCTTGCCTTGCTCACTTTAACATGATTGGACACTGTATCCGTATATATACTGGTGCCACCCCTGGGGGGGAAGAAGAAGCCCGGAAGTAGAAGTCCAGAAGGAGCCGCGGGGAGCGGACCAAAGGAGGCTTCGGCTGGGAGCGATCCCAGGGCAGGCTGTACGGAGAAGGAAAATAAAAAAAAAGGTTGTCCACTGCCAGACTTTGTCGTGTGTCCTTCCTGCCGGCCAGGAGCGACATCGACAATCTGCCTTAGGGCAGGATCCTAGGCTGTGTGGAGCCCCACCCCTGCCACCAGTGAAACTGCACTGCAGGTTCACTGACTCTTGTCACAGAAAAAGAATTTTCATGATGTATCAGTAACAGACATCAGGATTTGTGCAGCAGAGATGTGAAGGACACCCTCAAAGAAACGGAGCGTGGGCCTTCCAGAGAGAGGAAGGCACCTTATCATCCCAGGCTGGGCTTATGTATGGGGCTCGGGGGTGTCTCCCAGACAGGCAGTCGAGGCTGTGTGTCCCTGCTGTCCGTCACGGTGCCCATCTGGTGCCATCCGTCTGGCGGGCTATGTAGTATGCAACCTACCCACATGTGCACAGGTCGAGATTTGCTGCCCTCTAACACTGCTGCTCCTTGGGGGTGAAGGTGTAATTTACGGGTGAAAGGCACAGGTCCAGCACCCAATCTACTGGGTCTTTAAGATCCTGGGGAATTTCTTTTCTTTCTTTCTTTATTTTCTTTCTTTCTTTCATGTTTACTGGAAGGAAAAAAAGGCTTAAGAAACTATCATGTCCTAAAGTTGCAGTTTTTCTTAAAAGTACCATTTAAAACTTCTGGCAATCCTTGCCTCCCCCTTCCGTCTTTATCATTGCCGCTGTACCTCGCCTCGACCCTGCCTGATGTGGATGGGGGTGCTGAGGACTGTGACCGGCACACCATGAATTGACATCCTTAGGAATCCATGGGACAGCTGGCTCAAATATGGCTGTGGTAACGCAGCTCCGGACGGGCTGGCGTAGATGCCTCATGCATACTTGCTTTGGTAAAGTAAGTACTTACACAATACCATTGGCCATGGAGACCGGGCAGGGCCCTCTTCTCGGGTGAACCAGGCTGGGCAGTCTACAGGCCCAGGGGCCATGCATCTCAAGAGGAGCAATAGAGACACAGCACCGCTGGCTGCTGACCACTGCTGACTTGGAAGCACAAAGTGCACTGCAAATCTGGGGACCCTGAGCACACCCAGGTCCCACCTCACGTGATGCAGGCCCTCAGGGCTTGTCCAATGCCCAAGCACACTCACGGGTCCTGGCTGTGTGCCCGCCTTTTGCAGGAGCAGGTCAGCAAACACTGCTTCACAAGGGCAGGTGTTGAGCCTGCTTCCCAAGGAAGTTGCTTCCCAAGGCCTCGAGGGAAGAAGCGGAGGTTTAGCATTTGAACCCGTGCTGGCCATAGAGGTGGACACTGCTCCAAACACCAGGCAGCCTTCCTCCTGCAGCCCAGGTGCTGGGAGCCATGCTGAGCTCAGTCTGGAAGGCAGTTGACCAATGTCTCTTTCTATTTGTGTCCCCCATAGCTGCATGGCGAGGACCCACTCTCCCAAGATCCTCCTGGCTCACTACCCTTAGCATTGGGCAGTTTTGCACCATTTCTGTTCATCTGGGTCAGCTGCCCCTGCCCTTTCTCTCCTTGGTTATCACCCACCAGGTAAACACCTCCCCAGCTCAGCTCGGGCCTGGGACATCTCCCTTTGTTGTGTGACTTTAGACAAGTGACTTAACTTCTCAGGCTCAATTTTTCTCATTTACGGGGGAGGCCAATGATGCTTAGCTTGTGACTCACAGTATAGATTTGGGAAAGAGCTGGGACAGTAATATAAACCTGTCAAGTCTGTTATTATTCATTTATGTTGTTGGTACCAGGAATCGAACGCAGGACCTCACACTTGCAGGCAGGGGCTGTGCCGCTGGGCTACAGCCCTGGCCCGAGTCTTTATTTTTGCTTTTATAAAATTCAGTGATGTGACCGCACCCCAAATCAGATCGACGTGAACAAAGTTTCCCTCCTGACGGGCACTGTGCGACAGTCCCCTTCCTCCCCTTCTTGCTCACTCAAAATCACTCCACGTCTCCCTTCTCAGCAGCACAAGAATCACCAATTTCCAACCGTATTAGTTAGTTAATGATGGTTGTGTTAAGTCACTATGCAGTGTTTGTATGGGGGAGTAGTAGTCAGGGGCTGTGTACAGAGAACAATTAGAATCAGGACCTGGAGTATATATTATCATTTTTATAATGGTTACCAGGAGTTAACACAAGAAAATCCAGGAAATCTGCAATACCAAAGACAGAATATTTAGTCAAGGGCCTGAATACCACAGCAATGTCCCACAAGTCCAGATAAAAACCCAGAGCTCAGGACAATGCCTCCCACAAGTCCAACTGGAGGTCCAGAGCCCACAAGGATGACTCATGCCAGTCTCTTTATGGATCCGTGCCCGGAAGGCCCAAAGGTCAGCAGTAGAAGCCAGAAAGTCCATGCCAGCGGGGTTGAGGAGCTGTGCTGGTGGGATGAAGGTTCTATGCTGGAGCTGAGAGGTCATGCTCATAATAAAGACCAGGGCTGTCCTGAAAAGCACCACAGCCATCCTCAGTGACATGGAGGCCCTGAGCTCCTCTGACGATAAGCACAGTCGGGTACGTGCCAGGAAGCCAGCATAACCAGTTCATCCTGGAGACCAAGTGGCACACGTTTTCCCCCTGGGAGCCAGGAAGCAATGCTCGATATGAGGACTAAAGCTTCTCCAGACCTAATGGCTCAAAAAGCAACACATAGGAGAACCCACAATGCCTTAATGCCTCAATGCAACGCAATAACGCATTAATGCCTCCCTTCTCCTTCTCCACCTCTCTTTTTATGCTGGCAACTTTCCTCAGGTGGAGCATCTATGCTCAGTGCCATGCTGATGTAATCCAGCTGGCATTAAGTTGGCCACCAGTTCTCAATCCATAACGGGGGCATGCTTGTTACACAGCTGAGGCTGACTGATAAAATAGGGAAAGAGTTCCTGGGGAAGGGAAGACTGAATGACCTCTAAAAGTTAACTAGAGAAAGACTAAGAGAAGGCAGGGAATGTCTGGTAGAGGGAAGGGAGGTTCAAAAGCCATTTAGCAGTAGGTTGAACAGTGCTTTAATACTTTAAATGTCCACTGAGAAAATAGACAAATTGGCGAACCACCATGAATAAACACACATGTGATCAGATCCATGTAAGAAGCAAAGCTGAAAACCATTCAGCTCTGATCACTCTCCATTGTCTGCATTTGAATTTTTATTAACAGGATCCTATAGTATGCACCACCCCTGGCAGAGCTGAGGCTCCGTACCCAGGGTTTCGTGCATGTGAGACAATACTCTGCCAGAGCTGTGCCGCCATCTGGTACACGCTTTGCATCTGGCTTCTTCCCCACATGCTATGGTCCTGAGACTCCCTGGTTCCCCTCATTCTCCTGGGTGAGTCATCCAGTGCATACCCATCCCCCTTGTGATGGCTCGGGGTTGTCTGAGCTCTGGAGAACAACACTGCCGTGAATTCTCTCGGAGGAACCCTCCAGGGTGCTTCCGATCCAGCCTGCAGCAGAAATGTTGGATTATGGGGTTTGTAAAGTGGCTTTTGAGGAACTGAGAGGGTTGGGGGTGTGGAAGAGGAGGGGATGAACAAGAGAAAGGGCTCAAAGTTTGTAGAGCCCGGGGACACTTAGGGAAGTTGGGAAGCTAGAGTGTGGCATGCCCTGGTGACACGTGAAGATCGCAGGGGAGATGGGACAGGTAGGCATGGGACCTTTGACAGACCTGGGGCAGCCAGCACCAGGAGGCCCAGGGGCCGAGCAGAGCATATGCGGGGCTGGTGGCCAGCACTGTGGAGATGCGGCTTACAATGGCAATACGCGCGCTTCCACAATTTGGGGGCATCTCTTGTGCTTTTCCCGTCAGATGGTTCCTGGGGCTGGGTTGCCCCGGAGCTCTCCTCAGCGCCTGGGCTAGAATGCCAAGAGTGGGGGCGCCCTGGGTGATGCGCTCTCCCTCCCGTGTTTGCCAGCTCAGCTTGCTGCGTTCCTTCAAGGCTATTCAGGGCCCAGGAGGGGCAGTGGGGAGCTCCTGGCCGGCCAGGTACGCTGGCTCTAGTGGTCCTGGTCTGGTTCACCCAAGGCCAGCACAGGGGCGGAACCCTTCCCGGGAGCTGCTCATGGGGGCATGTCTGCTGAGTGACTAACGCCTGTTCAAAGTGCCAAAGGCCGTGGAGCAGAAAGTCCTGGCTTCTGTGCAGTCTTAGAGCCCGAGTCCCCTCCAGCGGATGCGACCTTGTGGTTGGTACTGAACTCTTCTCCTCTCGGTTTCCTCACCAGGAAACATCAGAATGATAACAGCTCCTACACGCCAAAGGATCACAGGCATAAGGGGAGTAACAAATTCAAAGCAGGGGCATGGCCCTTGGAAAGCAGTGAGTTCTTCATGTCAGTGGCCCAGGAAGACAATAGGTGCACACTTAAAACCGGGGTGCTGCTGTGTCAACTCGAGGCCGGGGATTTTATTTGCACCATGAGCTGACTTTTAAACCACCCTCCAGACTTTCAGCAGGCAAGTCTGCTTTTGATTTCAAAAGGTGAAAAACATGTATGCATGTCCACAAGCAGCCCATCTAGATAATCTCTCTCTTTGTTGTTTTGTCTTTTTTTTTAGACCAGGTCTCGCTATGCAGTTCAGGCTGGCCGTAAGCTTATTTTGTAACCCAGCCTGGTTTTGAACTCACCATGATCTTCCCACCTCAGCCTCCTGAGTGCTGGGATTACTGGTGTGCAGCACCATGCCCGGCTAGGTAATCTCTTTCCACATAGTCTCCTCGCTCTCCTGCATCTCACTCATAATTGTGCAAAAAGTTTATCATTTGCTTCTGTGGTAAAGGTATACTCTTTAAATAGAGTTCTGATGTCAACCAGAAATATTAGCTGTGCTGTCTTGGGGGAGGCAGCCTTTGACTATTCAAACCTGGGCGAGATGAAGGGTTTTATTTGTGGAAATTGGGGCATCCGGTGCCTGACATCTACTTCAGAAAGCAGAATTTTTAAATCACTTCCCAACACCTCCACACTATAAAAATTAATAAAATCTCAGTGAATACATTCCTCTTTCACATGACAGTAGCCCCGGGTTCAGGAGCAGCTTTTCCTCTAAAGGTGGGTTCATTTTGTGCCTTCAAAATGATCTGACCTTGGCCGAAGCATGGGTTCCCTATCTGCTGGTCTCTGCATCTAGTCCTCCCGGGAGGAGTCAGACACCCCACTTAACAGTGGATAACGAGGTCAGGACTGTATCCGAGGGCCACAGGGTTCAAAGGAGCGAACCTCCCCTTCCGACCACTGCACCCTGCATCAGGAGCCCCCATCTTGTGATGGCTTCTGGGTGTCTCAGCCTCTCTCCAATGTCCCACAGGGTCCTGGAGGAAGGTGGCAAAGGGGTGTGAATTTGAGCAGAAAAAAACTCAGTGGTCAAGTTGAGCCCCCACACTCTTTAGGAGCCCGGGGAGCCATGGGAATCAGGGGGCGCTCAGGAGCTACATGCGATGTAACGTGTCAGGCACTTGCTGTGTGACACAAGTCCAGAGGCTCAGCTTTTGAGGCATCTCCAGGAGGGTGGAATAAAGTGGGTGTTCTGGTTTGGAGCTCAGGTATCCCCACATACTCGGTAAAGATTCAGTGCCAAAGGTGTCACCATTTGGAGGCTGTAGGGTCCTTAGCTGGGGAGGTCTAGCTCAAGGGCTTTCAATTACACAGGGTGGGTTTTGGATTACACTGTCCTCCAAGGGAGTGATGGGGCTCGGGGCCCACCCTTTCTCTCTCCCTGCTTCCCAGTCATAAGACGATGGCCGTGCTCTGCCACGTGAGCCTGTCAAAGCAACAGGGCCAACAATCAGGGACGTGGCTCCAAAACAGTGAGCCAAGCCGGGCATCATGGTGCACACCTGCCTGTGAGCTCACAACTCGGGAGGCTGAGGCAGGAGGAAGGTGGTGAGTTCAGACCTGCACGGAGTATACACTGAGTTTGAGTATGACCTGAGTTACTTAGCGAGACCCTGTCTCAAAAGCCAATACTATTACTAATAAAAAAATGACCCACATAAACTCAGCCTCCCCCTAAGGTGAGTGTCTCAGGCATTTGTAACAGTAGCAGAAAGCTGAGTGACAGAGAGTGGACACAGAAGCAGGTACCGGAAGCAGAAGCACACAGCTGCTGCAAAAACTCCTGAGCCAGCCCAGCTCCTCACTTCTGGGCTGAACAGTCGGGAGCCTATCTCCTGGCCATGCAGTCCAGCTCCCCACAGCTGGCCTCACGTTGCTGACCCCTTTCCACATCAGGAGGAGAAGACCAGGGAGAGAGCCCCATTCCAGTCCTCTTGGGCCCCAGGCCACACTACGCAGCTCAGCCAGGCCATGAACGGAGAGGCAACTGATATTTGTTGAATGAACAAAGGAAGCCAGGAGTCTGTGTCACAGTGCAGCCCAGTGACATCATAATACAGAACACTCTCCCCAGATGTTCTTGAAGACTGATCAGTCTAGCCAGGTCCAATGTAACCTCATTTGCTTTTTAAGTCAGAATCTTGCTGTGTAGTTCAGGCTGGCTTTGAACTCACCATGATCCTCCTGCCTCAGCCTCCCAAGTGCTAGGCTCTCAGGCATATACTACCACACTGGCCCCATTATAACGTCTTACTTAGGCATCATTTGAAATTCCTAAAGATATTTACATGCTGAGGAGTGCTATTATTTTAATGGAAATGAGACTTAATCAGTGTCATCTAAACGTGCCCACCTCGTGTGACTAATACCAGCTAAGCACCAGTCTGGTGACAGTGTATATAATGAAAAGAGCAGGGCAAGTGGGGGTAGCCTCGCTCTGCCACCTCAGGCAGGTGATTCAGAAGGGTGCAGACCGATCCCAGCCTGCCAGGCCTGGGGGTCAGGGCTGCACGGAGGAAGGCATCCTTGTCTGAGCAGGGCATGGCCACGGGGGCCTCTGGTGTTACCTTGGGTTGTTCCTACTCCCACAGCGGGCTTGGGAGGCAGAGGTGTCAGCCTCTCCCTGGGCGTCCTGCCTGAACTCGGCAGTCCTGTACGCAGAGGCAGGAGGGTGACGGGGGCCAGGAGTTTCTGAAGCCCTTACTCGGGAGGAGTGTTGCATTCACTGCAGCCTGAGGTCCATTCAATCTCCGACTCCAAATCCTTTTAGCAGAAATCAGATTGAAACAAGGTCAAGGATTCTAGAAGAACCAGGCAACTCTGCATGCAAGCATGGTGTCTGAAACTCCCTCCCATAAGCCAAGCCCTGGGGCAGAGTATTTTTCCTTCCCCCCAAAAGTGTAAAAGCCAAAGAACGCTGTTCATTCACAAAGAAGTCACATTGCCAAGTCTGAGAGTCACATACCCCTCCCTGTAGGGGTACCAGGACACATTTGCCCTCACCTGCCTCGGTGGGCGCTTTGCCCATTGCAAACATTTCTTGACCACTTCCACAGACATGGAATTGGCCCTGGGACACGAGGGTCAGCTGGTGCTCATTTTGGGCTCCTGCTCTCTAAGTTCTCTTACGGTCCTAACTAAGATCATTCATTCATGCAATGGTTCATTACGGGGGCATCGCTCTGCACAGGCTCTCCGGAGCACAGATGGGGAAATGAATAAGCAATGGCCTTGTATGCATGGCTTTCAAGCCTACAGGGAAACAGTCAGTACACACCACATGCAAGGTGGACCCAGGACTGCAAGGTTTGGGAGTCTTATGAGATTGTACCTAATACTACAGTAGTGCCACTGGGGGGCATTTGTGGGCCCAGGGGTTTTGGAGAAGTTCTCCTGAGGTGCTTGTGAGGGACAAGGAACACGCTAGGTACAGGGGAGCGCAGGAAGCAGGACATGGCATTCAAGGGAAACACATCAAGCAGACCTTGACCTGGAGATGATCTGCTATATTCGTCTATGTTCTGTGACTATAAGCATCAGAAGCTGGGGATTTATGAACAAAAAAGGCTTATTTGGCTCACAGTTTTTGAGGCTTAACATCCAAACGGCAAAGGCCTCCTGGCTGAATTACATCACAGTGGCTGGCATCCCTGCAGGAACACCTGTGATAGGACAATCATGTGTGAGCCAGGAAACCAGGAAGAAGAATCAGTGATGCTTGGTCTTTCTATATCATATTCATTCTTGCAAGGGAAAGTAGCGTCCCATGAGAACCACCTTCCTGTCTTCCAAGGTGAATGCCCAAGCAGACCTGAGATGGCCCAGGAGGCCTTGCCTTTTAAGTATCCCATGGTCTCCTGATCACTACTTAGGGAACCCAACACATGAACCTTGGGTTCAAATCACATACAAACTGTAGCACTGGTGTAGATCTGGAGCCTCTGTCACTGAGTCGCGTGGGAGCCCAGGATGGTGAGGAGGTGCACAGGGAGCTGGTGCGCCCCAAGTCAGTAAATTCCAAAGTACCTGTTGGCACCACCCTCCTGATCACACTCTGAAAAACCACCTGACATTCTTTCCAGTCTGCATGAGACACACAGTCATGACATCCGTCCTCAACACCCAGAAGCTGTCAGTCACAGCTTGGGCAATGCGTCTACCACCTCAGGAAGTGCCATGTCTAGCAGATGGAGCCAACTGATGCCTGGCCGCTACCCACGCTGGCCTCTCATGAGGCAGAGGCAGACTGGCTCCTGGAGGGTGAAATCACCATGCCATTATGAACAAAGGTAGGGACCAGGCAGGTTCCCAGCCCCAACCCGACCTGCGATCCTGTGCAGGCCCCAGGAGCTCTGCTCCTCCCCAGCCTCAGCCCCCAGGTCAGTCCCCAGGGACCTGTGCTGACCTCTGCCGCCACCCAGCTCCTCCTTCAAGTTGACCATCCCCTTTCTGGAGCTCATCTTGGCCAGCAATTCTCGCTGTCGCTACTTCCGGGAGAAGGCCCCTAGCATACCCTCAGCTTCCTTGGGCTCTGCACTCGCTAGTCCCATGCACCCCATTCACTGGCACCCTCTCTGGATGTGCCATCTGAAAGCCATTTTCTGTACAACCTCAGTGTCCAGCAGGGGACAACGCACTGATGGTGGAGCTGGTGGCTGGGACCTTACACCCCGCAGTCATTTCTCCACCTTGGGCAACTTCCAGGTCAGCAGGCGATCCTCTTTCCAGAGACACAGGCGTTGCGGGCCCCAAACAAGATCCGGGACTTCCCAAAAGTTCCACAGGAGCCGAAAGGCCTGTCTTTGCACAGTGACGTCGGAGGACACTTGGAGAGTTGGCTGGCAGGACATGGAGGCACCCCAGCTCCTTGGATGTTTCTTGCTTCTCCCAGCTCCTGGGGTCACAAGGAGACTGGAACGGCTTCCAATTTTCAAACCATGGGAAAGCTGTCTCCCAGGGGCCCACCTCCAACCACACTTGAGCTTGCCCCACCAGGCCATCGACACTGTCCAGGCCTCCAGGAGTCAGTGACAGGCCGGGGCACTGTCCCTCCCAGCAGAGCTGCTTTCCAGCAGGTGGCCAGAGACCTGCGGTTGGGCTGGTGTCTATCGTACTCGCCACAAGAGCGAGGTTCAGGGTCTAGAGTCAGGGCCCCCGGGGACTGGGTCCTTAGGCCCGGGCTGCGTCACTCGCCCACCGCCTCCTGAGACATCACAATCCCGGGTCCCGGACTCAGCCCTCATCACCGTGGGCCCACGAGCTCACAATCCCGCCGACGCACGCCGGGGGGAGGGCGCGAGCCCGCGGCGGAGGCCACCTCCTCCCGCCCGCCCTTCGGCCGCCTGCGCCCGCCTCCTCCCGCGCGGCCGCGCCCCCACCCCCGCATGGGGCAGTGAGCGCGCGCCGGGCGCCCCGCCCCGCCCTCCGCGGCCAGCCCCGCCCCGCCCTGCCCCGCCCCGCCCCGCCCCGCGGCGCCCTCCCGGGTGCGAGCCGCTCGCGCCCGCCGCTCTCCGCCGCCGCCGCCGCCGCCGGCGTCCGGGCCCGCCGCCCGCGCTTCATGGCTGCGCAGGAATGGGACTGGTTCCAGCGCGAGGAGCTCATCGGGCAGATCAGCGACATCCGCGTGCAGAACCTGCAAGGTAGGCGGCCGGCCCGGAGAGCGCAGCCCGGCCCGGCCCCGGCCTGACCCTGGCGGGACCGGGACACCTGCCCACCGCCACCGGGTCCCTGCGGCCCCCGTGGATTTGCGGTGGCCCCGGAGGTGGGGCGGCGCACGTGTGCGTACGAGTGTGTGCGTGTGTGTGTGTGTGTATATGTGTGTGTGTGCGCGCGCGTGAAGGGTTTTTGAGGGGGACGTCGCCACCTCCCTCCAGCCACCGCTGCGACTTTGGAGAAGTTTGTACTTGGGCTCCTGGGGGCGGTGGCCCAATTCGGGAAGGGAGGAGAGAGTGCAACTACGTGTGCCTGTGTGTGTGTGCGCGTGCGTGTGTGTGCGCGCGCGTGTTCTTCGGTGCACTTCCTGAGTACCTTTGAGGCCGGGGGCCCTGGGTGAAGGAGCGCCCTTGGAAGTTGAGATAGAGCCAGGGAGGGGGCAGAAGCTGTGGAGGCCAAGCTACCACCCCCTCCTCTAAGGGCAGGGTACTTCGTGGAGGTGAGGAGCAGGACCTCTGCTTCCTCACCCTCCCTGGCTAAGGAGGCACCCAGAGGTCCCCCAGACCAAGAAAAAGAGAAACTCGGGGGTCAGTGCGTCTGACAGGGGCTATGCCACCAAAGAAGCTGTTTATCTTGCAGGAGAATGTGTTGTGTGCGCGCTTAGTACAGACATCCAAAGGGAAAAAACACTCCCTCCCCAGGTGCATTTCCGGCCTCCTTCCTGAACGGACTTTGCAGAGGCGTGCAGAGGTCTGTCCTCCTCACCCCTTCTGCCCTCTGTGCGCGGCAGAGTTTCTCCGTCCTTTTCCTCAGCGGGCTTGGGCTTCTGGGGAGTCCAAGATTGAAGGGGCTGGAAGCCAGCAGGCCAGCCGAAGTGGTGGGGTGTGGAGGCCCTGTCCCCAGCAGGTGTAGTGGCTTCCAGGCTGGTGGTCAGGGAAGCCCAGGGATCAGGCTGGGGCTGGGGGTGGTGTGGTCAGGTTTAAACATTACACCTGATAGAATGTGTCCTGGAGCTCACGTGGACCCGCTCCGCCCCGAGGGTGAGCAAGGACCTGCAGGCAGAGGTGACCAGCAGGCAGAGGTGACCTGCAAAGGAGGACCAGGGAGCCTCCTGGGGTGGGCACTGGGGACTGAGTTTGCTGTGGGCTCCTCTGCTGTCTCCTGGCTGTGACTGGTGTCAAAGGAGAAGGGCTGGACTATATGGGAAATGATGGCTTTTGATAATAAACAGACTCTCTGGATGTTAGTCTGGGCCATCAGGATGGGTGTGTGTGCATGTGTGCGTGTGTGTATCTGTCCGTCTCAGGTGATCACCCAGTATTTAATGAGTACATACTAACTAAGCAGCGCTTGTTGCCACGCGTTCCTTCAGTCTCCAGCATCGACTCCCAGCTTAAAAGTCGGTTGTGTGGGATACTCAACACCATAAGTCTCCAGTCAGAGTATACGGAATGGAGACCATGTGAGCTGGGTCCTGAAGGTTGAGTAGGAGTTGATGAATAGACTTCTTGCTCTCAGCTCCCAGTGAACTGAACTCACCTTTAGGCACATTTAGTTACAATTTAAACACTGCTGGGCTTTGCCATAGAAAAAATGAATTACGTCCATGTGCTGTCACATGTACATATTACACACATGTATAGTGAACATGCTAAAATGTGAGCTCAACACGTACAGGTGAGGGTCCCCCGTCATCTTCCACCTGTGTGGACTTCCCACGCCTTGGATGGTTGCCTTACCTCCCTTTCCAGTCAGTGACCGCAGTCCACCCAGGGAGCCACTGTCGTGATCTTTGATAGCCAGTGAACGGTGCAGTGGATCCTTGTTGAACCACACTGCATGGGGTGATCTGTCCCCATGCTGGTCTGCGCTTATGGTCCCCCTTTATTGCTGAGCTCCAGTCCACCATGTGGATGGCTGCTTGCAGGTGTGACCTGTCCATGTCTTGAGGGACATTTGGGCCATGGAGTCTGGAGGGTCACGAAAGGACACAGCTATCCTTGTGCTAGGAGGGTGTCAGCTCTGTGGGGTGCTGGGTCAGGCGGCTTTGCTGTTTCAACAGAGTGGGAGTGGAGTGGGGCAGGACAGGAAGCTGTCTTCTCTTGGTTTTCCCCTTGGTACTTAACAGACAGGTCCCCCTGACCCCCACCCTTGCTTCTGTGGCTCAGGACTTCCCAACTAAAGGTTCAAGCCTAGAGGGCGCCCTGCGCACCAAGCTCAGAGCACCCACAAGACCAGCTGGAGACGTGAGCTAGCCAGATCAGTCTGCACGATCAGATGGTGGGGCCACCATCAGCCTCTGAATTCGGGTGGGTGGTACTAAGGAAGGCAGGCTGAGCCCAACCTGGGCTGCTTCCCAAGCTTTGCGTTTTCCTCATAGCTCAGGTAGTCATGATGGTGGTGGCGGTCAGTTGGGTGGAGCAGGTCTTCAGTAATCTATAATCACAGGGATGCAGGAGGACTCCGGGCCTTGATGTGCAAGCAGCTGCTGTCAGGGTCGGGCAGTTCTGATGTTTTGCAGAAAGCTTGGCCTGTCTCCTGGTCCTGGTCTCCATGGTTGGGCAGATCTGGGGTCACTGAGAAGTGGCCTGGAGGTTCTGGCCTCTGGGACATTGCATTCTGGGAAGAACAGTCAGTCATAGATGTGTATCTTGCTAGCTTGCTGTGAATCCGTCTGGTAAAGCTGACCGGGAGCTGTGCCAGCCTCTGACCACTCGCTCCTCCCAGGTCTCCGCCTGTGTCCACCTCAGCTGTGGGGTTCTGGGATCCGTGCGGCTGGGGCTGGGATTGGGATAACCACCCCCTACCGAGGAGCCCTGGGCTGAAGCTCCCTGATTTGTTTTCGGGGTCAGGTCAGCTGGACGAGAAGCACAGCCTCTCCCAGGAGATGTGTCCCTCAGGCATTCTCCCTCCTGGACCAGACATGCTGCAGATAGAGGTTCACATGCATGGCATAAAGTCATTAGTGAGCAAGGGCTCTCTGGCAAGCATGGCTGTCCCTCTGGGCACAGACTGCCTGTGCCACCCTCACAAGGTCCCTTGCAAGGAAACGGGGGTGGCCCAAGCTGGTGACCTTTTCTGAGAGGAGGAGATGGAATTGCAGGGTGTCAGTGGCTTCCGCCTCCTTGGAGCCACATAGGGTGGAATCCGGTGAACTGGTCTGTGCCTTGGCTCTCTGCTGGCTGTGGGCAGGAAGGACAGACTCCAGTGTTCTTCTGAGGCCCAGGCCACTTTGCTCCACCTACTCCAGGCTCACTGTGCTGCAGGGTGAGACGGGGATCGGGCTGGCATTTAGAAGATTCCCCTGTTCCTGAGCAGCCCCCAGCTCTCCAGGCCTTCCCCGTTCGGCTTCACAGATATGTGCCAAGAGCATCACATCTTGCAGACGCTGGAGGATGAAAAGCTGTAGTCTCTGTCCTTAAGGAGCACGAAGCTGTCCTTAAGGAGCACCTAGCCAGACTGGGTCTCGGGTTGCCCAACTCTGGCAGCACAGAGAGCAACTCTGCCTTGGGCTTTTGAGGACAGGTGCTCTAATTCTTGTCCTCCCTGTGCCAGAGTGGCTGGACTAGGCCAGGTGAATGGAGGTGTATGCTGAGCTGGGTGCAGATGGACAGACTTGCTCCTGGCCTGTGGCAGTGTCCTGTGCTGCCATCAGTGCTACTGGCTGCTGCTCCCCATGCCACATTCCCACCCTCAGGCTGAGTTTGCCCAGGTCGTGGGCCTTGTGAGTGAAGCTGGGGTTGGACCCCCCGGTGACACAAAGCACAAGTCGCCCATGTGCTGCAGGTCGTGAGCACACAGGTAGAGGGCCACTAAGCTCATGGCAGAGTGCTGTGGAGGCCAGGGGATGACACGTTGTACCCACTTCATTTCTGGGATCTGTGCGCATGGGTCAGAGCGCTGGCTTGACCCAAAGGTGGGCTCTGATGTAGTAAAGGCTGAGTGTTCAGGAAGGATCCACAACTCCATGTTTCCTGTGCTCCTTGCCCCACAGTGACCCAGGACCAGGGGGCAGGCTCTCTTCATGCTGCTTGGACTCTGAACTGACAGCTTTAGGCTCTGGGCCCTGCTTCACCTCCTTTGAGCCACTCACCAATCCACCCAGACCCCCAGATGTGTCCCTGATAAGCCAGCCCTGTAGCAGGGTGCGTGGCCTACTGCTGACTGCCCAGCCTATGAGCTCCAGTGCAGTGTAGTGACCTGGGTGGGCCCCTCCTCACTTCAGCCAGGACCAGTGATGTCAGGGCCATGAATGCCGTGGTGAGAAGAGGGTCGGGATGCCTTGTCCTGGTGTTGGGTGCCTCTGATCTGGCTGGGGTGCTATACCAGCCTTTGTCTCCACAGATACCCCTCTGAGCTGCTCCTGTCCTTATCTCCAGACCTGTGCACACCACAGGGGACCTGGCAGAGAAAGGATGGAGCCAAGGAGGGGAACTTTCTGTCTCTCTTTCTCTGGTCTTTGGAGAGCTCGGTGACTGCCCAGGAGACTTTCGCTTAAAACTCATGACCATCAGAAGTAGAAGTTCCCTGTCCTCCAGAAACTGGGCACTGGGCACTGCCCTGGAGCCCATGCCTGGTTCTTGGGGATGAATGTGTCTGTTCCTTCCTGGCCCTGGTGGGTCAGGCCACTCTGGATTGCAGGTAAAAAAAAAAGCCGTGTTGCAGGCCAATCTTTCCTTCGGGCTTCGCTAGGTAGAACATTGTGCATTTGAGAAACCACACAGACCAGGAAGCCAGGAGCACAAGCCTGAGTCCTGCTTTTTTTTTGTTTTTAGTACTGGGGATTGAACTCACGACCTTGTGCTTACCAGGCAGGTGCTTATGCTGCTGAGCTAAATCCCCAGCCCTGGCTCCTGCTTTTGTCACGCACCTACTATGGGATCCTAGGAATTCCCTTTTACTAGCTATTTCTGTTTCCTACTTGAAAAGTGAAAGTCGGGTTATTGGGGCTCAAACCTGGCCCCTGAGAAGGCGATCGGAGAAGTGG